GGAATTTGAATAAACTGCACTCGCGAGCTATAGGTTAATGATCAGAGACAGTCCAAGATGGCCTGCCCTTTGTGCAGACACCAGTGCAGACTCAGCTGTCTTGGCAAAGTTTCAGTTTTAAGCAGGTCTTAAATCCTGTGGCGTGCTCTAAGCAGAACAAGAAAACTTCTCTGGCAGTGTATATAGATTTCATTCATTATTTTATACTGTCTGCTTTATGAGTCTGATTGACTCCACAAGGAAAAGCAACTAACATAAAATACTTCAGTGAGTTAATCTTTCATACTTGGCTTTGTTTAAAAATATATTTTTACACTCCACGTGCCAAACTGGGTTTGCTTTTCTTTGCCAGTTTTTGGTTGCATAATTTAAATTTCCATTTGTTCCCACGTATATTCTTCATGCTAATTTGTCAGTTGAATGTTTTTCCTTCAGAAATGACTTCAATCATAACAAGGCCATTGATGAAGTTACGCAACTCTTGTGGGGTTATTCTCTATGCTTTCATGAGAATTTCCCTGCAGCAAAATAGTTGTCAACCACCATTCAAAAGAAAGTCAATTCATTAAATCACTAAGATGTGTGGTAGGGAAAACAACCAGTCAGTCAATTTCATTGGGTTTGTGTTCGTGCAGGCACCCTGTGGCTCTTCATGTTTGACACAAATCAATCAATGTAACCATCTGAAGATTTCCACCCTCATCAAAGGGCCAGTCAGGCTCCTCTGAAGTTCAGAGGAGCCTAAACGCGCCATTAGTGACAGCGTTACTGATGAGATGGTGAGAGGAAGCGGCGGGTAAGGAAGTAATGAGTGCAGGTGTGAATGCTTCCTCAAGGTGTCGGGTTTTACAGACAGGGCCATTGGTTGCCATTTGTTTGAACTCAGTTCTCATGGTGACACATTTGAGAGGATTATTTTGAAATGCAAAGTAGACAACGACGGTTACTTGCTTTAAAGAGCAACATTATCTTTCCCAACCAAAGATTAACTTTGGTCAAAATGATTAACTTTGGTGGAAAAATGTACCTTAATATTCGGTTGTGACATGCAGTTTCTCATAAATGCAGCTATGTGTCGAGGCTACACCAATACAAACCACAACAACTGTGACTGGTCAGCTACTGCTCATATGTTCTCCTACATTCAGGATTCAAGATTCAAGACGCTTTATTATTCGTCGAAGGGGAAATTTCTGTGCACAGTTGCAAATACAAAGTTGGGGAATCAGGTAACTATCAGAGTTAGAGTAAAAAAAAATAAGTAAAGAAAGAAAAAAGAAAAAAAATAAAATTAACAATAAAGCTAAATAAATAAAACTCACGAGCAATTAATAAAATGCAACAAAATCAAACGAAATCTTACAAGAAGCAAGTAAATTTAGAAAAAAACTAAAAACAGGAGTAACTTAAGAAGTGTGACAAAATGCAACAAAACTTAGGTAGGTATATACAATATACAACAATATGCACCGTGCAATTTAGCAACATGAATTGAAATTAAATAAGTTCATATTTCCAACGCTGGTGGAGATCGTCTCCCTTTCAGTATCATCTTGCAAAGCCACCTCAAACCATCTTGTGAATGAAAGAACATAAACATAATTACTTCTTTGTGACTGCATGGCAATAGTCTCGTTTTCAGTTTCTAGAAAAAAATTCATCATCTAGCTACCTAACTAAGTCATTTACAGTTCAAATCCTCCCATCATTACTCCACGTGTGTGAATTACTTTAGATGTAAATCCATGGCACAGCCTGATCATTCAGGGTACGTCCTGAATGTTTGGTTTACTGTTACAGCGGTGTTACGGCAAATCTACAGAGTGAACTCCTACGCCGAACTATAAATCAGTTACTATTTTGGATGCAACTATGGCGGGACCACCAGAACATGTTGACAGAGAAGCATAAATCTGGTTTTCAACAGCAGTTTCAACATCTGTGTGGTGAGCTAGAGCACAGGAGTTCAAATTATCCCCACCTGCCAAAACAAACCAAAATTAAAGAGCAACTGTTCCAGGTTATTAAAAAAAATCACCCCAAACACACTTGGTGTGAACAGACCCTAAAGTAGCACGAACTGATCAAACATGCCTCTGCAAGACATGTCTATGTTATATGACAGCTTTTTTGGCACATCTTTGTAAGGTCTTTCTCAATCAACAATTGAACACATATGGGTCTTTGACGAAATATAAACGGTTTCAATTATTATCAACAGCTGAGAGTACAAACCAAAAATGAAACAAACAAGAAGACAAAGGACAGGCAAAGAGAGTAAAGTTTAGATTAGCCAGAGATCATATGACTGACAAAGTGAACAACACAAAACACACCTGGATGCTGGCTGGAGTTTTGGTTTGCCACTGACAATACAAGGCAAATAGAGGACCCGTTGTTATAACCTCCAGTCCTGATATCAAATATGAGACGGCAGTTGAATATAAGCAGTCAAACGTTGGCCATAGGGACGCTAACTGAGGCTTTGTGTTGTTCTATTCACCCAGGAACCAGTGACCCGTCTCTGGTTCCCTGAGGTGACTGAAGGACTGTCACCGGGTGTGTATAGGTAATGAAATCAGTCCCCATGGGGGAAGGGTGATGGAGGAACAACACGGGACTGGTATCAGTTCACTTCCGCCTTTTTCAGCTCTCAGCGCTGATCTGCCTCGGAGATTCTAGGTCAGTAGTGGCTTTTTAAAGATTTGATATGTGCCTCTAAGGAGTTTGGTGCTGCTAAATAGGTCTGTAATGGCGCCTGACACTCTTACAGAGGAGCTGTCCATTTAGATACTAGTTTTGAGATGTAATACACTTAGTTTAAACACATTATAGTATTAACTATACATGAATACATATCAAGTTGTTAGTAAGATCTGAAGAGTTGAAAAGATCCAAAAAATACTAGTCTTAAACTATATGTTTTAATACACTACATATATAATACATATATAAAGAAATGCTGTTCTTGTCTTCTTGGTAATACTGAGGTCAAGTTGCAGCAATGAGAAACCTGACTGTTTGATGCACTAATGCCCTTTGTATAACACTATGAATAATAACTGGAACAATCTAACCACTACAAATGTAGTGTGGCAGCTAAGTGATAATTAACCTTGCAAGGCCGAAGATCACAAAATCACAAGATCAAGAATCCATCTTGCCGGGCTAAAAGCTAATCAGACAAATCAGCGTGCTGTGAGGAAGTGTGTGTGTGACATGTGTGAAAAGTCACTGCTCGAACAAACAGCGGTGCACTATAAAAGGGTTTAGCGTAAATGCGCGGGTGAGAAAGACAGTATTGCTTTCTCCGGACTGTGTCGGTTTTGAACATAACTATCATATGGCTCATTTGATTGGTTGAAGTTTGCTTGTGACAGACGGCGATAGACAGATGGTTCATCCAATCACCTGCTGAGTATTTATTGAAAGTCTCCACCCTGGAGTACTTCAATATTAGTTCACTATGTTTACTGTATATTGTCTACTTGATATGAGTTAGTAAAGTGTTTTTAATGGGTTTTGGTAGAAAACTGCAAACTGTATAGAACTGGATGTTAGAAAAGGAAATGAAATGTGCTGAGGTTTCTGTGCACAGACCATAAAAAATTGGCTACAACAGTAATTAGTTTCATTGAGTGTGCCAATTCTTTTCTTATTGAATCATTTGGTCTGTAAAACACTGGAATGTATGAAAAAAATCACCTTTTCCCAACAACAGTTCAACAGTTTAACAATTAACAGCATTCAGCTTTATCTTAGAACATTAAGAAAAACAAGAAAAAAAATCCCCTTTGACAGGCTGAAACCAGACAGCTTCAGAGAACAGTTTTAATTATAGATGAACATCACAATTGTTTCT